GCATCTTTTTGTCTATTGAAATTTAGAAAAATTATAAGTGATCACATTTATAAATAGAAAGTTATTTCTCAATAAAAATGTAAATATTTTGTATTTCAAGTCATATTGATTTTTTGTACAGATTAACTTTTCTGGTCTCAATAATGTACCCATGGTGAATAAGTTGTTGCAACTGGAGCTCAGCGATGGATTTATGAGAAATTACTGCAGGATGAGAATGGTGAAACTTGGTTTTTCACTGACCCTTCAAACACATTTGATCCAGAGCTCAACCTAAAAGTAAGACATCCAAGAGTAGACAAAGACCGTTAGATATTCCATGAAGGATTCCAATGTCAGAAACGTTAAACATTAGGAATCTCTTCAAAGACAACTTGTATTCAGAACAAATTTTAATGAAGTTTTAAAATTTAGCTTATTTTATATGATTTACTTGTTCACTAAGTAATGTATAAAAACACTTGCTGGAGAGGATGAGAAGCTAATAGTCTATTACAGTTGTTACAAATTTTGCTAACCAATCATTCCTCTGAGAAACTAGAAGGAGCTCGTGAAGATGATTTGATTTTCTTCCTCAGATTAGTTCATGCATAGAGAGGGGAAAATACTGTGATTGCTCTTTTGACTGCTTAAATAGAATTTTACAGTTAAAAAATTTGTCAGTGTTCACGTGTCTCTGAAATAAACAGGACATGAGCCCAATTCTCTGACTTCAATTAAAGAGTAAATAACACAACAATTTACTTCTAATGAAATACTCACACAGTATTTCATGGTCATATTTTGTATACAGAAAGAGGAGAGTGCTGTTATTTAGATTCCAGTAACTTAACATTAAAACGTCAGCCATGAGCTGAAATTCCTTCTGCTTTGAAGACTTAGGAAGCCTCCATTCTATAGTAACAACTGTCTTTGGAAGTCTGAGTAGCTCTAAGATCCTTCACTTTTTTTTGTCATCTCAGACCACATGATGTTTGAGCTAAGAGTCACTACCTACCCAGCCAACAGATGCCTGAGTACATGGATGCTCACCTCTCAGTCTCATGCTTTGACTCCAAGCCAACAGCTTCCTCAAGATTGTTCCTGAGGAACTAACAGCTGTCCTGTTTGTATACATCCTTCACCCCAGTAGGGAAGCTGTAGCTAACAGTGTCAGATTCCAGGTTGACAAGTGCTTTAAACGTAAGGTGATGTTTCTCCTATTTCTGGCCTAAGAAGTAGGAACCATGTGCTCCCTGCTTTCTTCTCGTCTGACTGCTATCACCTTCACATGGGAAACTTACACTCAGTGTGGCATAATTGAATTATTAGGGGATATGAGAATCACCAAACAGAATGCAGAATTCCTGGCAGCAGTGCCACTCCCGAGACGGCAGCATGGTGGTGAAGGAGGTCTCCCTTCAAGGAGAGCTGAGGGTGAGAGTGGGCTGGGGAAATACAGTACAGAAATCTATAAGGGTTTATTCAGGAGCAATTAAATGTATTGAGATCATCTTCATATAAAATTGTCTCTACTCTCATCTTTTTTCTTTCTCCACTTCAGGTTAGTAGAAAGTTCTCTAAGGAGCAGGGCCTGCCTGGTTCCAGTGCTGGCTCCTGTCGTCAAGCAGCCCCTGACTCATTCTGTGCCCTCGGGGCTGGAGATAAGAGCATCCTCTTACTGAAATTAGAAAAAACAGCTGTCAGTGAAAGTGTAAGCTCTCTGACTTCCTCATTTTTCTCATGTTTCCCTGGACTCCCAGAAGTCTTACTCTTCAGATGATGTTTTTATTTGAGATATAACATGTTGAAAATAAAGAATATTTTCTTCTTTTGTTCCTTTGTGGGTTAGATACATAATCATTTTTTCTTGGCTGACCCAGGAAAGTGCTTATATAACAATAAACAATTCTATCAGTAATTATAACAGGTTAAGAATTTTATATGAATATGAATTTTAAAATGTCCTAAATGCAACCATAGATGTAAAAACATACAGTTAAAAGAAGTCTTTCATTGAAGCATATGCTTGGATACAGTATAAAGTTATTCTCTATTAATGGATCTTGGTATATTCTTAAACATTTCCAGTCCAGCAATTCTAAATGTTCACATCAAAATTATTTCAATTAACAATTATTGGATATTTTCCCTTTATTTTTTGCACAAATATGTACAAATACTGATTAATATTTATCATATTTAAATTGAACCAATTATTTAAACTTCTGATTTTTAAAATTACAACTGCATATTACAGGAAATGTGCAAAATACACAAAAGGTGTAAAGCAGGAGATCTTTACATCATTCTCAACACATAAATGCATGTTGACATTTTTGTTGCTATTTTAAAAATCTCTTTTCTGAAGGCATACACATTTTTCAAAAATCCGAGTTTATTCCGCTTTCAATACTCCACGGTAAATCTAGTTTTAAATACAAAGTAAAAAAAATTATTCATAACTTAATATTAAATAACCAGACACATTTTCTTTGATAACTATATGTAATAACCATGAATCATGATATAAACTATGCATTTTTCCCAATGCAAAACTTAAAAAACATAATTTTGGCTGGGCACAGTGGCTCACGTCTATAATCGCAGCACTTTGGGAGGCCGAGGTGGGCGGATCACAAGGTCAAGAGATCAAGACCATCCTGGTCAGCATGGTGAAACCCTGACTCTACTAAAAATACAAAAATTAGCTGGGCATGGTGGCGCGCACCTATAGTCCCAGCTACTCGGGAGGCTGAGGCAGGAGAATTGCCTGAACCCAGGACGCGGAGGTTGCGGTGAGTCGAGATCGCGCCATTGCACTCCAGCCTGGGTAACAAGAGCGAAACTCCATCTCAAAAAAAAAAAAAAAAATTTGTATTAGAAGATGCTAAGAAGCTTCTAGTTAGCAGCCTTCAGAATCTGAAAATGCATCAATAAAGGAATTTAAAAGATTTGCTTTGGATCAAGAGTTACTTTGTAAATACACACCCTAGGAAATCATGTGGGCTCATGGACTAAATGTGCTTTTCAAAAGACCAAGCAATTGAGCAGGCCACATGGACTTATAAGTAACTTCTGGGCTATCAGAACTGCCCAGTTTTGTGATTGTTCTACTCTTTCACTGTTCATAAGCAAAGAAGTTGGGGGTTTTCAGGAGGGAGAGAAAAAAGAAAATGGCAGGATGAGGTTTGGTGGTAATGAAGATAAAATTGAACTCTAATTACATTCCTGACATCATGTTTAGTGCAGTGCCCAATACTACCACCATTTTACAGATTGAGAAATTAAAGTTTAGAGAGATTAATTTGCCCAAAGTCTCATAGCTATCAAGAAGCTAAAGGTTTCAAACTGGGGGCTTTCTGATGTCAGAGCTCAAGCTTCTCACCACCATGCTCATGGAACAACGGTCAGGAAAAAGCCAAGTTTCCAGGACACTTCTAAATGGCCACAGTGATGAATGACACTTTACATCCTGCTGATTGGATGACCAGCCTTGCCTTGATGGGATTTCTAGCCTCACAGCGGAAGAGAAGCCAGAAGAGGAGGATGGCAATTTCCTATGTTGCTCCAGATTTGCCTCATTTGGCCCCCATTTTTCTGGGGCTGACGCATATTTTTCCAGTAGGTGTTGGGGCTTCCATTTTGTGCTGGTGCAGGCATTGCTCAGGCTCATGTAAACACTCACTCAGCTGTTTATTCATCCAACAAGCATGTCTTAGACACCTCCTCTGTCCATTCTTGGGCCAGTAAGTAAGCATGGTCCCTGACCCAAGAAATCTAGCTCAGATTCAGAGATGCACAACCTAATTCCAGCAAAGCTTTCTGTAGATTACCTGGAGCAGCTTTTACTAGCCTTGATCTTTCCCTCTTCTCAGCTACTCCTGTACCAGGGAAGCTCTCCCACGGAGGAATGGTGAAGAGATGGAAAAATGAGGCTGAGTTGGGCTGAAGTTTTGGGGAAAGATGTGGAAGCCAGAGACTATCAAGAGGTTTTGGTGGTGTGTGTGATGTCCCTCTCCCTGCTGCTCCATTTCCTTGGGCACTTACGCTGGTCTCATAACCTAAGAGTCAACTGCTCATGTAAAAATCCATCCCAGCATTCTCAATTCAAATAACTGCCACTTGCCACGTGCCTGCCCCAACGGAATTAAAGGAAGCTGCCAACAGCCCACCTGACCTCGCTAAATGTACCCGTGTCTTCAGCAGACAGGAGCTCCTTCTTCTTCTGAGCGAGACTTCCTCCTATCTTGGAGTAGGAAGTCCTCTCAGGAGAATTTCAAGCTTCAGACAGAAAGGAGTAAGGGCCATTCATTTACTCCCCTCAGTGTTGACCCAAAAGGAAGAAGCTGAGACACAAAGTATAATCTAAAGAGTTTACTTGAACCAAAGTGAGGACAGCTGCCTGGAAGACTCAGACCCAAGTACCCTTGGCTGTGAGCTTCCTAGAGCCCTTGTTACAAGCAGGTTTTTAAAGACAAAAGGGGGACAGAGACAGCAGTCTGGTACAAAATTGTTTATCAGGAAGTGGCTTTGGATTACAAAAATAAAACTGATAAGCAATTGGCTATTGTTAAGCTGTAGGGTGTGGGTTATAGTTCTGGTGAGACACTATAATAATTATCCTAAATTATAATTAATTGATAGCTACTTGTGGCAATAGCAAGCAGTTTTAAGAGATGAATACACAGCCCAAAGCAGGGAGTAAGGTGTGATTGCTCTCACTTTAACGTCTTTCTAGGCCTCATAGTTTAAAAAGGACTCACCTTAGATGAAAGTTCTTTACTTTTTGTATCAGGAACGCCATTTTCTGCTTTCTTTTAGGGTTAGAATGGGTCCCATGAAGAGCTGCTGGCAGGGACAGACAGAAGCCAGTGAGACACCGTGGAAGGAAACTGAAGTGATTGGGAGGGGGCGGCAGTCCCTTGCCTGCAATCAACACTAAAAAGCACTGTCACTCCAAAAGTGGTAAAAACCAGTTTGTGAAATCACACAAATACATGTATTAGGCATACCTGGCTAGTCCTTTGCCTAGAGATCTTGTAGCATCACTGAAGGCAAATGGAAAATCATTAATCCTTAATCACAGCACGAGCTTAGGGATCAGTTCCTTTTGGAGGGTGGTGAGTGGTGGAAGTGCCTGGAAAATGTGTACAGGAAGAGTGAAGTAAGCAGAAGAAAGGTCCTAGGATTTGGGGTTTGGTTACAGTGGGATCAGAGACATCTGGGAGTATGAAGACAAAATCCCAGATTACAACTGATCTTGGAAGAGCGATTTCATGACAATTTCACTGAGAATGTCTGTTTAGTCCTGGCTTCAGATATAAGGTTATGGTTGATGGATGAATATACTTTTGGAATCTTCTTTTGGAAGATTTTCTCTGGTCTGAAGTTGACAGCTGGGTTAAAATGTCAAGGACTTTGGTAAATCTCTAACGGAGCTTCCCTCTCACTCCCTTAACTCAGAGTACATCTGCTACTCAATGTCATTGGGATTTCCAATATTTGTTCTTTCACTATATGGTCTAGTATTTCTTCACAAATTCATAATCAGCCTCCTCTTCCACTCCTCTCAATAGTTAATCTAAACGTTGACTCCTTTCTCGACTCCTGGTAATGTTTCTTCGATCGTTCTCTCAGCAATGACTGTGCACTGAGAAATCCTAGTGTGAGATAAAAACTCCCGTAAGCCTAGCCCTCACCTAGAGCTAGATCTGCCTTGGCATCTCTTTTTTTTTCTCATTTTCTCCTCTGGGCCAGAAAACTTGTTGCTGTTGTTATTTTCTATTGAAGACTGCTCCACTTTGAATAATTCCTTTCTCCTGGAACGGGTCCCATCAATCTATTTCCACTCTATTTCTTTCCATTTCTTCTTCCCTACTGAATCCTGTCCATTCTCACTGTGGGGATCTTAGTCTAGACATACACAATTGTGTTGTCTCCAGACTGTAACTCTTCCTTCCCCTTTGCCCTCCACCTACATTTCTGTCTTCCTTGGGGCTGTCAGGGTGGTCTTTCTTTAAATTGAAAGCCGAACATATCACCCCTATATGTAAAAAGCACCATGGCTAGAAAACAATATTTACCCAATGAGTCCAGCAGAAAACAAGTACATCTTTCTAATGTGCCTGGTGGCATTCAGCTTTAGAAAGCTATACAGACGTGGATGAGGAGTAAGTTACAAAATTGAAATGTGGAGCTGATTTAAAATCTAGCTCCACATTTCAATTTTCATTGGGGGACAGAAACTTCATTCTCCTTACATGGCCAATATTAATTGGACCCTAATTATTCAGGTCCCTCTTGTTTATACCCATCCCTCCTTATTCTTACATAGTTCTTTATTTTCCATGCACCCTTCCTTGCCACTGTGGACCCTGAGCTCCGGAATTCTCTTTCCCATTGGATAAAGTAACCTTGGTTCTTATCCTTGGATGGGTGGATGGTGCTTTCCAATCTAGCACACTCCCCTTTTGTTTTCTGGGTTGAGGTCCTCTTCATCTGTTTTTCAGTATAAGCCAACATACAGGATTCCAAAAAACTTTAATGAGCCACAGAACAGTCGTCCAAAGGTGTTTCTTGGCTGGGGAGAGAAGAGACAAACATATGTCTGCCGGGCACTTTGATTAAGCAATTATGAGCACTCACTGGAGTGTCGCTTGCTTTTCCTGGTAGTAGAAGCGTGGTAAGCCACTTCCTAATATCTTTGTGGTGGCAGTGTCAGGTGGATAGGTAATTAAGTGCATGTTTAGTTCTGAAACTCTAATCCCAGGGATTGTTTTTACCATTCTGGCTCTTTCAAGAGCTTCCCGTGGGTTCATCTGGCTCTTTCAAGAGCTTCCCGTGGGTTCATCTGGCTCTTTCAAGAGCTTCCGGTGGGTTCAGCTAGTTCATCCAGCTGAACTAGCGAGTGGAAAAGGCTTGAGTTTTCTTAGCCAAGGGAGCTGGCAAACAGTAGATTACAGCAAGGGAGAAGATAATAATTCTGGAAATAATAATAATAATAATTCTGTAAGCAGTGCCCCGGCTTACACCACTTTCTTCCAGGCAAGAGCACCACCATGCAGCTATCCGACCCATCGTACATCCTATCCTTAGGTAAATCTCTAGTGGAGCTTCACTGCAGCATAGAGGGAAAAACACGAGATTTAACATTTCATTGTTGGTGCTGCTGAGCTGTGTGCTCTAGGAGAAGATAATGAACTGTTTCAGCTGTGCCCTAGAAAGATTCACACCTATCTTGCAAGTCTTTTGAAATGATTAAGAGGAAATCATATCCCAGGAAAAGGATATGTGAACTGTAAAGAGCTGTCACCTTACAATGGAGATGGTGATGATCTTCATTCTCCTGGGAGGGCTGGTGCACATTCTTGCCTACAGCAATCATAAGCAGAGGATGATGCTTCCGCCTTTAAGATTATCATAGAGAGGTTAAGAGATACCAATATTACCTAATGTTTAACATAACTGGGCCCGCTACCTACTACTTTATGCACACAAGATACGGGGCTGAGGGACCCTCCTTTAGCAGCACTGAGGATCTTGGTTACAAATGAGTGGAATGTGTAAGGGGGGAGGAGATCTTTAGTGACTGTTGAGTGCAAAATTGGGACAACATTAGCCGTGAAAGGAATGCAAACCACATCTTGCCTATTTAAAGCAATAAAGGAAGGGAGGGAACAAAGTTATACAGGCAAAAAAGTGCTTTTGTTTCCCCAGCCATGAATCCTGGTTAAAAATTGCACACAAACCCCAAGGACAGTCAGTACCATCACCTCAACTCGTAATGTGCTGTGTCAAGGACAAACCCTAAAAATAAAGCAGTGTCACACTTTCTTTGACTTGCTAGCTTTATGTCTGTCGTGAAAATCTCAAGACATTACCCATCTTCAGATGTAGTTCGTTCTACCCAGGCATGGAGTCAGGGAGGGTAAATGAAATGTCTAGTAGAATGTGGTCATTCATTCGCTCAGTGTTTATTAAGACCTAACATGTGCCGGGCTCTCTCCTGGATGGGGCCAACAAAAGTAAGCCCAAGAGGTCCTGCCCTTAAGGGGAGGAAAGACACATACTCTAGTATCAGTATTTGGGTAGAGAAAGTGATTTGTCAAGAGAGAACAGGATTGGGATTGTTAAAGTATGTCCACAGCGTATAGATCAAATGGGCTCCCTGTGACTCACTGAGGTACCCACATTTAAAACAGAAACCCAGTGGCCACAGCTAGGTGTGGGAGTGGTCACGTACTCTGTGTTCTCAGAAAGATGTAAGAGCATCACAGGACCCCCTTTTCACAATCAAGCCAAACCAGCACCTGCTGTTGGTCCCAGGACAAATTCCTGCTGGGCACCTCCCACCCCCAGCCAGCGACAGTCTGATATAGACTCCCAGTTTGGGGCTTGGAAACCGATCTGTCAGAGCTCGTCTGCTCTGGTTAATCAGGGCTCAGCTGCGTCAGAAGAAAGCAAGTTTCAGTCCTTCCTATGCAAACAAACCTGATCGGGAACCTGGGCAGAGAATTTGGCTATAAAACCCAACTCCTCTCCTTGTTCTCAGATCACACCCCCATTTTACCTGAAGTCTGGGTCTCTTAGTGTTAGTCCCAACTGCACCATGTTGTAAGCTGCCTGCTGTTTAGCAGACCTTGGTCAAAGTGAAACAGGCCGTGAGAAACGTCCTGCCTAACCACATGACCACAAGGCAAAGGCCCAACGAAAGGAACATCTATCATACCTTGCTGGACAAAGGTCCGAGGAACACCCAGAACGCCATGATGACATCCCACTGGAGCAAGGGCCAGAGCCATCTCTCCATGGGAACAGCTGATCCATATCCTGCCAGGCAGCAAGCCATACTGCCCAGACCCCTTCGGCCCATGCCTATACATTGCCCCAGCCTGTAAGCAGCAGTGGGCTCTGGCATTAGGCTGGTCCCCCACTTCCGTAGGTTTTATGCTGGACATAAAGCCTGCATTTGCTGTTAAGCCACTCCCTTGTGTGTTTATGTCTTTCTTTAAACCTCGCCTTCCCTTCAAAACCGAACACTCACATTTGCAAACTGTCCACTGGAATAAAGTCTCTTTCCTCCAAATTCCTTTCCAGAAAACTTGTTTTTCGTGGAGTTTACAAGGAGGAACAGTTATTTCTAGGAAATCTGATCTGCTGGAGGTAGACTGAGTTGAAATCCTGGAAAAGAAACAGTGGGCAATACTACTAGAAATAGATTTTGACCAGATCACAAGTGACCTTGGATGATGCGATAGGGAATTGTGACTTTAATTTGAAGGCATAGGGGGTGATTGAAGCTTTTTGAGCAGGGGAGTAAAGGGCTGTAAAGAGGCCCTGGAATTTAGAATCTCATTTTTGAGAATGAACTAAGGCGATAATTACATGGGTGGGTTTGAGGATGACTTGAGGACGTTTAAAAGGGCATAGCAGGCCGGGCGCGGTGGCTCAAGCGTGTAATCCCAGCACTGTGGGAGGCCGAGGCGGGTGGATCACGAGGTCAAGAGATCGAGACCATCCTGGTCAACGTGGTGAAACCCCGTCTCTACTAAAACTACAAAAGATCAGCTGGGCATGGTGGTGCGTGCCTGTAATCCCAGCTACTCAGGAGGCTGAGGCAGGAGAATTGCCTGAACCCAGGAGGCGGAGGTTGCGGTGAGCCGAGATCAT